GAAGCCAGGAGCCAGGTGCTTCTCCTGGTCTCCCATGGGGTGCAGGGCCCAAGCACTTGGGCCATCCTCCACTGCACTCCCGGGCCACAGCAGAGAGCTGGCCTAGAAGAGGGGCAACTGGGACAGAATCCGGCTCCCCAACCGGGACCAGAACCCTGGGTGCCGGCGCCGCAGGTGGAGGATTAGCCTATTGAGCCGGGGCGCCGGCCTGCACTAGGGTCTTTAATGAGGACAAAGAAATCAAGAAGGTAGTGTCTAAACTCAAGCTGGGGAATCAGAAAAGACCTCAAAAGATGAGGAAATGCAAAAAAGGCCTAACTGATCAATCAGAAAGATATGAAGAGAACAATCACCAATTTCATACTGGTGTTTGTTCTTATGGACTGGGAGCTATCTCAGCTCGCTGTCCTAAGCACTCTGTAGATATTTTTTGTGAAAAGTTCACGGAGGTTAATTCAACAGTTCTTAGTGGCAGGCCAAAGCCAAACTTTTCACTGGATGGGGAAATGAAAGCTATTTTTAGAAGTAGCATCCAGGCTGGGGGAGATGTTGTGGTGCAGTGGCTGGATTGTTGGGCAGCTGGTTAAGCTACTGTTTAGCATGCCAGCATCCCATATCAGATTACCAATTAGAGTCCTGAGTGCTCCGCTTCTGATCCAGCTCCTTCCTAAGGCACCTGCAAAGACAGCAGATAGAGTTCTGGGCTCCTGGCTTTGGCCTGGCCCAGACATGGCTGTTGTGACCATTTGGGAAGTCAACCAGCAAATGGAAGATATCTCTCAGTCTTTCCCACTCTCTCTGCTGCTCTGCCTATAAAGAAATAAGGAAAGGGGAAACAGAGGAAAAGAGGAAGGGAGGAAGGGAGGAAGGAAGGAAGGGAAGAAAGGAAAGGAAAGAAGGCAGGGAGGATCCTGAAATAAGTGGAATCCTCAAACTGGAAATCTCACTGTACTGCTCTGCTCATTTTCAGTCAATGTAACTTGAATATCATTTGTTTCAACTATATACCACTATTTCTGGGGCCAGCACTGTGGTGTAGTGGATTAAGCCACTGTCCGCAAGTGCTCCACTTCCAGTGCAGCTCCCTGTTAATGCTCCAGGGAAAGCAGCAGAGGATGACCTGTGTTCTGGGCTCTTGCACCCACATGGGAGACCAGGAAGGAGCTCCTGGCTCCTAGCTTCAGCCTGGCCCAGCCCCAGCTGTTTCAGCTATTTGGGGAGTGAACCAGCAGATGGAAAATCTCTGTCTCTCCTTCTCTTTCTCTCTATAACTCTACCTTTCAAATAAATAAATAAATAACTTCTTTTAAAAAGGAAACAACTATTTCTAACATTCTGTGCTAATTATCATACTCTCTAGTATTATTTCCTTTTTTTTTTTTTTTTTTTTGGACAGGCAGAGTTAGACAGTGAGAGAGAGAGACAGAGAAAAGTCTTCCTTCCATTGGTTCACCCCTCAAATGGCTGTTACGGCCAGCGCGCTGCACCGATCCAAAGCCAGGAGCCAGGTGCCTCCTCCTGATCTCCCATGCAGGTGCAGGGCCCAAGCACCTGGACCATCCTCCACTGCCCTCCCGGGCCACAACAGAGAGCTGGACTGAAAGAGGAGCAACCGGGACAGAATCCGGCACCCTAATTGGGACTAGAACCTGGGGTGCCGGTGCCGCAGGCGGAAGATTAGCCTAGTGAGCAGCGGCGCTGGCCTCGTATTATTTCCAATAGCAATATTTGAACTACATTTAGTAGTCATCTCTGGCTGCTATCTCCAGACAATATAATAACTATAAAGGTGTAAGGGCTATTTTTTAAGGACTTAACTTATGTTTTCATGAGAATTAAAAGATATGGATTTCACAATTCTCAAGTAAATATCTTTTCAAAAAATTATGTATATTCTGAATAGAAATTGCAATGAAATAATTAAATTTACATCACTATAAATGGTTATTTTTACAAAATCATTCAGAAAATACAAAGAAATAAAAATATTGGTACACTTGTTTCAACAAATATCAGATATGCTCATAATGGATTTTATGTAGGTTAATTTGCTCATTCAAATTAAGAAAATAAAGTGAGCTTTAATACACAGTAAAATGAAGTTTTATGAGAATTATGCTTTCAAAGCATCAGTTTTGCCTAAGTCAAATCACAATGCAGTCTAATTAACATAAATTTTATGATTTTTGAGAAATGTGACATTCCCCTTTGGGGCATCTAGTCAGGCAAGACACATCCATGATCCTGGATGACGACTGCTTTGTATGGGGAATTGAGAGATGTGACTTTCTCATTCAATTACATGAGCTGAAGTTATCAACTGTGAGGAGGACAGTCATATTTCAACTTTCAAAAGTTACCAATAGCATTATATTGTTTAGCATTGGGTTTGTTTACCTTAATTATGCCCTTCAAAATGTTTTAGGAAAACTCCAAAGGCAGAGAAAATATATTATTTTATTTCTTACTTTATTTACCTTAATTCACTCCATATTTCCTACCATTGTCAATACTGATATAGTTCTGTTCAGATTTATCCGTGGAGGGAGCAAAAAATCTGTGATTTGAATAGATCCTTCTGAAGGAAACATGAAAAATTTTTTAAATTTATTGAGACAGGCATAAAGCGAACAGCATCTTAAAATGCTTGGGAAATGACCAAGTTATTTTACTAAGCAGAAAGAGAGAACAAGAATGAGCTTGGGGTAAGCAAAGGACATCATAAATCACAGAAGAGCACTCTACGCTTTTATTCTTGGATCCACATGTTCTTAAAGAAAAACCGTGTGTAACAATTCAGCGTTATTTTACACAGCTCAAGGAGGGCTTGGGAATTCTGAATACCAGCTAAATAACACCATTTATAAAATGCATAAAACTTGAGTTTTCTAAATTTTGCTCAATTCTGTTTAAAAACAATTATTTTTAAGCTTTCAAGAAATCTTCTGATCTTGAGGATTCAGGGCAAGGAATATTAGACTGCTTTTCCCATTAGCAATCAGTTATGTTTGTTTTTTTTCTAAAACACTGTGCTCCAATAAACTGCAGGAATGTTGAAGACAAAGAAACAAACTTCTTTTTTTAGCTTTATTGCTTTTCTCTCACTTCTTAGATACTCAGTAATTTCAGATTCAGTAATTAGTTACTTATGCTCACATCCCACAATTATTTTATTCCTCTTTCCAGGAAGAAAGTATGATTAGATTGCTTCACTCTGTTCAAGTTAAACTTGGCTATGGCTCTTGCTTTAGTCAAGACACAAGAGTAGAAATAATGTGTGTCACTTAAGGACAGAAGTGACTAGGGAAGAATGCGACCCATACATGTCTCTCCCTTGCACAGCAACCAATGACATTTGCAGTGGTGATAGTTTTATTAGGTAATCATTGACTAAAGAAGACATGCCTTCAAGACCCTGCCAACCAGAGATCAATATGTAATGAGATAGAGTTATTAAACCCTTTGAAACTTTATATGAATTTTAAGCCTGTGAAATTCTGTCTTTGTTATGACACTGCCCTCTAAATCATTCTAACTGATGATTACTACAAATGATCACTACATGCAAAATGATCACTATATGCAAAAAATCTAACCTGACTGAGAAATATATGAACTTAATTCCATTAAATTCTGAAAGTGCTACTTGATTATCCACTTTGAGTATACTTTGCCCCTCTGGTCTGTTATGTTAAAGAGAAAACCATAATCATCTTTGAGGTTAATTACCAATATTTATTAAATTTAATAATGTTCCCTATTTACTATTTATATATGACTATTAGCTTGATGCATTAATTTATTCATCAATCAATTATTTTTCATTGTGTATTATGAACCAAAAACTCTTCAAAATACTTGTAATAATTCAACGAACAAAGCGACTTTGTTTCCACAAGTAAGTCTCTGTCTAAGAGAGATGTGTTGCAAAGAAAAATATACTAGGTTAGTCAATACTATTGGGAAAAAGATAGGTGGCATGGGGAATTATAGAATAAAGGGGTTGAGGACATTGAGGGAGAAGACAATCTTTCATAAGTTCACCTGGATAGGTTTCACTTAGGATCTGATTAGAAAACAGTACACTCATATAGGCTTCTAAGTGGAATTAATTAGTGTAAGTGTCCCAGAATGGAAATAGTTCTGAGAACCCAAGAAATAAAGTGTGGCTGAGATACCAAGAAATAAGAAGTGAGAATAATAAGATACAAGAAGTAATATCGGTCCCAATCATTTATCTCTAATTGGATTCCAAGTTCCATTCTGAATAACATGGAAAATCAGCAAGCAATTTTCCTGCCCAGTCTGGCAGTGAAAGACTCTGTAACTCATGTGAGTAATGTGCTTGAGAGGGTCAAAATTCAGATGACAAAAGACAAATGACAACATAAATTCCCCTGTCTACCTCTTCTCCCAACATCACAGTCTCTTATTCCAGGTTCCATTAGGCAGCCATTTGGTCAGAAGTGTTGGTACCTTGAAGTCTATTTTAATCTCTTCTTTAGTGTGTTACCTTCAATATACCCATCACTGAAGTTATATTGATTGGGTGTGAATGTCTAATTAATTAATTTACCCTAGTCATCTAGAAAGTCAAACATGGAAGTTAACTGAACCAAAATATTTAAATTCCATGAATGTATCTATTTATTTATTTTTATTAAACATATGTTGCATTCAACTATATGCAATCAATAGCAGAGCAAGAAGGACTGATTCTTCCTGAAAGTGTAAAGGTAACTATTTCCTAAACTCTCTTTTCTTTTCCTCTGTTCCTCCTCTCTTCCTTCCTTTTTCCCAGCCTTCCTTCTCTTCTGTCTTCCCCTTTTCCTGAATATTGTTGATAATTTTCAATGTGCCCACAATACGATAACCACTTATGCACTCTATACATTAATAAGGTAACTGGTCCATCCTAGGAAATGGAAAATGACCCAACGTATCTTAGAATGATCACTCACTTTCTTAAGAATATTTCACTTGTGAGGGCTGCCCCTGCCTGGGGCGTGGGAGCCCGCTGAGGGGAAGGGGCGCCAGAGGAGAAAGGCAGCGGCCGTCCCTCCACAGCCCCCCGAGGGCGTCTGCGACCCTCCGGGGACTTGCGAACTCTCGAGGCAGTCTTGGAAGCTGTATTTCAGCTGCCTAAGACAACTTCACACCAAATAATGTAACAGAAAAGATCAGGAAACATTAAGCAAATAGAAGTGAGGAACATTTTAAGCAAAATGAACATTCCTGGAAGCAGTTGCGAAAGCCCTAATTCTTCAGAAACATCTAATGACTTTAAGGACTTTTGGACAAAGTTGAAAGAGTGTCATGATAAAGAAGTACAAGGTTTACCAGTAAAAGTAACTAAACTGAAAAAGGAACAAATTTTAGATGCACAAAGACTGGAAGAGTTCTTCACCAAAAATCAACAGCTGAGAGAGCAACCGAAAGTCCTTCAGGAAACCATTAAAGTTTTAGAAGATCAGTTAAGAGCAGGATTATGTGATCGTTGTGCAGTAACTGAAGAACGTATGAGGAAAAAACAGCAAGAATTTGAAAATATCCGACAACAGAATCTTAAACTTATTACAGAGCTTATGAATGAAAAGAATATTCTACAGGAAGAAAATAAAAGGCTTTTGGAACAACTACAACAGAAAATGGAGAATGATCAACAACATCAGCAACTGAGCTTGGATGGGAGGAATATGAGGAATATGTTATTCCAGATTCACCAATAAACAGCCTTTTCATTTTCTGGCATCAACCGACTACGAAGAAAAGAGAACCTCCATGTCCAATACACAGAACAGACACATAATAAAGTAGAGCACTCTGTGGGCGCAAATGAATTGAGAAAAGTGTCGAAGCCTTTAACTCACCCACAACATCCTAATGAAAATGAAATACTCGTAGCTGATACTTGTGATCAAAGTCAGTCTCCAGTGGCTAAAACACATGGAACCAGCAATCAGCCCACTGATAAGTCATCTTTTTTTTTTATTTTACTTTTTATTTTTAGACAGGCAGAGTGGACAGTGAGAGAGACAGAAAGGTCTTCCTTTGCCGTTGGTTCACTCTCCAACGGCCACCACGGCCGGCGCGCTGCGGCTGGCGCACCACACTGATCCGATGGCAGGAGCCGGGTGCTTCTCCTGGTCTCCCATGGGGTGCAGGGCCCAAGGACTTGGGCCATCCTCCACTGCACTCCCGGGCCACAGCAGAGAGCTGGCCTGGAAGAGGGGCAACCGGGACAGAATCTGGTGACCCAACCGGGACTAGAACCTGGTGTGCTGGCGCCACAAGGCGGAGGATTAGCCTAGTGAGCCGCGGCGCCGGCTGATAAGTCATCTTTTAACTTAGCTACAGTTGTTGCTGAAACACTTGGACTTGGTGTTCAAGAAGAATCTGAATGTCAAGGTCCAAGGAGCCCTTTTGGTGATGAGCTCTATCCCTGTGTGGAAGGAAATCACAAGAAGCAGCCTTTTGAGGAATCCACAAAAATTAGTGAAGATTGTTTAAGGTTTTCAGATTCTACTTCAATGATTCCTTCTCAAGAAGAAGTGTCGACTCGGGTGTCATCTCCTGTATTTGGAGCTACCTCTAATGTGAAAACTAGTTTAGTTTTGAATACAAGTTTATCCCCTTCTCTTTTAGAGACTGGGAAAAAAAAAAAAACATCTGAAATTGGCCCCTTTTAACAATACTTCGGTTTCAAGATCAGAGAGAACTAGATCAAAATCTGAGGACAGTGTCCTTTTCACACATCGTAATCTAGGGTCTGAAGTGAACAAGGTCATTAGCCAATCATCTTCTAATAAGCAGATGCTTTTAAGCAAAAATGTAAGTGAATCCACTGATGAACAGGAGAGGGCTGATCATACTGAAGATTCTATTACTGATAAAGCTTTGGTGCCCTTGAAATCACTGGGAGGCAGAGCATCCAAAAGGAAGAAAACTGAGGAGGAAAATGAACTTGAAGTCAGCTTCCCTCAAGCCTCTTTTGATAAAGAAAATCCTTTTCCTTTTCCAAGAGTCAGTCACTTTCCCTTGAATGGGGATTATATGGTGGATAAACCTCTAGATCTGTCAGATCGGTTTTCAGCTTCTCATCGGCAAGAGAAGAGCCAAGGAAGTGAGACCTCTAAAAACAGACTGAGACAAGTGACTCTATATGAGGCCTGGAAACCCATTCCCAAGGGCTCTTCCTCAAGCCGCGAGGCTCTGGGTGGGAGCTACATGTTACCCAAAGATTCCCCAAGAAGAGCCCCATTCACAGGGGTGCACCCTCCAGTCCTTGAGTGAATGCTCTCCAGAAAATAAAATACCATTACAAATAAAAGAAGAAAATCCTGTCTTCAAAATTCCTCTACGTCCACGTGAAACTTTGGAAACAGAAAACATTTTGATGACATGAAGGGTGCTGGTTCTCATGAGCCAATAAGAATAAAAAATAGGTCTGTCCAGGGAGGATGTGAACTTGCATCAGTTCTTCAGTTAAATCCGTGCAGAATGGCTAAAGCAAAGCCTCTGCAGAACAACCAAAATGTATCCTTTGAAAATATCCAGTGGAGTGTAGATCCAGGAGCAGACCTTTCTCAGTATAAAATGGGTATCACTGTAATAGATACAAAGGATGGCAGTCAGTCAAGAGTAGGAGGAGAAACAGTAGACATGGACTGCACATTGGTCAGTGAAACCACACTTTCAAAAATGAAGAAGCAAGAGCAGAAGGGAGAAAAAAGTCCAAATGGAGAAAGAAAAATGAATGATAGCCTGGAAGATATGTTTGATCGAACAACACATGAAGAATATATGTTTGGCAGAGAGCTCCCCCCAAACAGCTGAAGAAGAGGAGGAATTGTCTACGACTAAAGGGAAACCAAACACTCATGGTGATAAACAAGATAAAATTAAGCACAAAGCATTTGTGGAGCCCTATTTTAAAGATGATGAGAGAGAAACTGGCTTACAAAATTTTCCTCATATTGAGGTGGTTCGGAAAAAAGAAGAGAGAAGAAAATTGCTTGGGCACACGTGTAAGGAATGTAAAATTTATTATGCAGGTTTGCCAGCAGAAGAAAGAGAAAAGAAGTTGGCTTCCTGCTCAAGACACCAATTCTGTTATATTCCACCCAGCACACCAGAGAATTTCTGGGAAGTTGGTTTTCCATCCACTCAGACTTGTGTGGAAAGAGGTTACATTAAGGAAGATCTTGATTCTTGTCTTCGTCCAAAAAGACAGCAGTCTTACAACGCAATGTTTTCTCCAAAAGGCAAGGAGCAGAAGACGTAGATGTTGATGCAAAAATAGAAGAATAGAGGATGGTTTTTCTTTTTAGTTATTTATAATTAAAGTTGGTATTAAACATTTGATTTTTTGAATCTCCTATAAATTGACTTATGAATCAGTTTTCTATTGAAAATGTTTTAAAATGCCATTTACTCACCATGTAACTATTTAAAATGTGGATATATTTGTGTTGTATTTTCTTGGTTTTGCACCCTTAAAACAAGAAGGTGTTTTAATTTTGCACTCTTAAGAGTTGTTTATTTACTTTATTTGGTAATACCTAATTACAGTTTTGAAAATAAAAAAAAAGAATATTTCACTTGTAATCTGTGAATGTAATTAATCTTTCTCTAAGTAAACACGCCAGGTAAATGACCCTGAAATAACTCCTATTATTTACGAGGTGGACCATTCACATTGTCTGTAAAAGTCAGAGTTGGATGCTATCTCCATCTGCCACTCAAATAAAGTTGCTTCCTCAAAAGCAGGGCTGCAGGGCCAGTAACCTACCTTTTATTTACTCAAAGTATGTTGGGAAGACTGGCAGAAAAAGTCAGATTCCTTAGCTTGACTGAGTGTGTTGTTTCTCTAGGGCTGCCAGAAGTTGTGACTTCAACAACAGAAAAAGTTTTATTACTGTTTTATGGGCTAAAAGTCCCAGATCAAGGTGGTGGCAAGACTGTTTTCTGGGAAAGTTTCCCTCCCTGGCTGGTAGATGCCTATCATGGGGTGACATCCTCACATGATCTTTCTACTGAGTACACAAAAAGAAGCAACTCTGTTGTCTTTTCATTTTTTTATAAAAACATAAGTTCTATTGAATGAAGGCCACATTTTTAATATTTATTAACTTTAATCATCACCATAAAGATCTCATGATCAAATATTGGGGCTTACAGTATCAATTAAAGATTTTTGTCTGAAACACTAAGTATCAACATGGTCTCTTATTTTACTTTCTCATACCTACTATTTTAAGATTAATGTTCAGGGGCTGACGCTGTCCTGTAGCGGGTAAAACCACCTCCTGCAGTGCCAGCATCCCATATGTATGCTGGTTCAAGTCCCAGCTGCTCCACTTCCTATTTTACTCTCTGCTGTGTCCTGGGAAAGCAATAGAAGGTGGTGGAAGTCCTTGGGCCCCTGCACCCACGTGGGAAGATCCAGAGGAAGCGCCTAGCTCCTGGATTCAGATTGGTGCATCTCCAGCTATTGCAACCAATTGGAGAATGAACCAGCACATGGAAGACCTCTCTCTACCTCTTCTCTCTCTGTGTAATTCTGACTTTCAAATTAATAAATGAATCTAAAAAAAAAAAAAAAGAAAGGATTACTGTTCAGACATACTATGCTTAGTGATAGAGGTATATCTGAAAAATGCATCCCCAGGCGATTTTGTCCTTGCACAAATGCCACAGAGCACACTTACACAAGCCTAGATGATACAGGTTAATCACCTGATGCGACTTCTCAATGTGAGCTCGAGATGCAATAAACAAGAGATGTATGAGGCTGCTGCCTGGGACATGGAAAATCGTTGTATAGTAAGCATTTTTTTATTTATTAAGTATAAGCAGTGTACTCTAAAATAATAATAAATTCTAGTATGTAATATAATCTGACAACAATCATTTATCATCCTTATCAAGTATTACATACTGTATGAAGTCGTATGAGTTATTTTTATACAGCAGGCAGTGCAGTAGGGTTTTTTTTTAAGATTTATTTATTTATTTGAAAGTCAGAGTTACACAGAGAGAGGAGAGGCAGAGAGAGAGAGAAAGAGGTCTTCCATCTGATGGTTCACTCCCCAATTGGCTGCAACGGACGGAGCTGCACTAATCCGAAGCCAGGAGCCAGGAGCTTCTTCCAGGTCTTCCATGTGGGTGCAGGGGCCCAAGGACTTGGACCATCTTCTACTGCTTTCCCAGGCCATAGCAGAGAGCTGGATTGGAAGTGGAGCAGCCGGGTCTCGAACCGGCGCCCATTTGGGATGACAGCACTTCAGGCCAGGGCATTAACCTGCTGCACCACAGCACCGGCCCCTGCAGCAGGTTTATTCACACCAGCATCACCACAGCACATGGGTAATATGTGACACCACGGTGTTAAGACAGCGGCAGTGTCACTAGGTGATTAGTATTTCTCAGCTCCATTATAATCTTAAGGGACCATCGCTGTATATGTGGTTCAGCATTGATTCAATAATTGTTGTGTAGTGCATAACTGTAGTTTGAAGCTAACCTAGTTTCCTTCATAATGAATTTACAAATATCCAGCATTTCATGGAGACTCACCAGATTTGGAGGTAAAAGTGTGGTAAACATTTCATTCTCCTCTTATTCCTAGCTTCAGTGACTGGATTACTCACCCCATAGTAGTTTCCTAGCTTTTCAAACATTTTTTTCAAGTGTCTATTTCCACTATATTTTTTTCTCCTTTAAAACACTAACAAGAACTTATTCAAGCTTTTAAGCTTTATGTACATTGGAAATTAAGAAATATTTTTTCCAGTGGTAGGTGTTTGGCATAACAGTTAAGGTGCCACTTGGATGCCCAAATCCTATATCCCTGTGCATGGGTTTGAGTCCCTGGCTCTACTCCTAGTTAAAGGTTTTTGGTAATGCGCACTATGGGGGACACGGGTGATGACTCAAGTATTTGGGTCTCCGCCACCCTTGTGGGAGATTCAGGTTGAATTCTGGGGTCCTGGTATCATCCTGCCCTTATCTTAGCTATTTTGAGAACTTGGAGAGTGAACCACCACGTAAGAGATCTCTCTCCATCTCTCTGTCTTTCCAATAAAAGAAAGAACGATTGAAATATTGGCTGTAGAAAGAAAGCTCCAATGTTAATTTCAACTGTTCCTGTATTTATTCTCTTGAATTTGACTACTTGTAAAATTATATAAGCTTTAAAATTCTTCTCACACCATTGTTGTTTTATTTCCTTTAACTGCTACCATTTTGCTGTGTCTCACTTGTCATTTTGTACTTTCAAAATATTTGCCTTTAATATGTTTTTAAGTAATTAAAATTTAAAATTTCGTTAATCTTTACTTATATATATATCATCCATGATCCCTGGTCTTTCATTCTATTCACAATTATATAGTATTACAAGGGTTATCTAATTTTACACAAACTGGCTCAATTTCATAAATTTATTAATTTCTATTCTACTTAAATGGATTCAGTGTGAGTTCATAGCTTATTTTCTTTTAAGGTATCAATCATTTGAAATAAGAATTCTAAAATGTGAGAAAGGTAGGAGGTCCAAGGAGATGGTGAGATGCTAGAAGTAAACTTCTGAAGACCAACATAAGAAACCTGACTGTAGCAATGGTAACTATGTCAGAATAGAAGATATGAAGACTCTGATTCAAGGAATCAAAGAATTGAGAGAGAATGTGGTAAAGAAATAAGATAGGTGAAGTTGTAGGAGACACAGAACCTGGGAAATATGTTACTCTTATCCTGATTTACAAAAACCAAAGAAAAAAATATTTTTTTTCCTATGGCTGCAAACAGACCCTGGGCCCTTTGAGAAAGAATAGCTCTACAGTGAGAATGAGGTCATTTGTAATTTTTCCAAGAGAAGCTTACACAGTACATTATTTCACCTGAATTTGCAGGTCCACAAATTCGATGTTTCAGGTTCATTGAACTATTTCAATCATTATAATTAGAAAGAAAAGCAAACAGAAATATGATTTCTATTGGGGGAGAAGGTTTCTGAAGTATTTTCCTCATAAACTAACTTGAAAAGTATTTCCCAATTGCTCAATGCTCACTTCCATTAATAATAATAATGTGATTTGAAATAACCCTACAGACTAAAGAAGGTCACATATTTTATACTTAGGAGTCTGTTCATCCCAGGCCTTCACAAATAACTATTAAAAACACAGTGCCCTATAGAAGTTAATAACAACTTTGCACCTTGACAACCTTCATGATTGTTCATATGTGTATGTATGATTTATATGATAAAATGTTAGTTTCCAGTTATAGTTCTGCATTCAAATGGTCCATTTTAAGGTGAATGTATGATTACTTCTAAATACAACCAATGTCAAGGAAAATTTATAAAATATCTCTTATCCTATACATTTCCTAACTGATGGTGAATTCTATTTTTCTTGTATAATTCTCAGACTATTTCTTTTTCTTACTAAACATCTTGTAAAAATATCTCAAGGTATTTTACCCATTGCCTTACAAATGCCTGTAGGACTTTGCTTCTCTACCCAGGAGTCCCTATAATGTGGGTCTATCATACATTATCAGTTTTACAAAGTTCTGACACATAACCACAAACACCAAACCCATTTCTTAAGGCTACGTAGCTACAATATCACAGGGGTGAGTTATCTAACCATCTGAATTTAGAAACTTCAATTTGTCCAAATGTGCTTCTGCACTGATGTCCTGAACAAAAATCAAAGGTAAGTATTGTGCATTTGCAGTCCTATGGAATCAACCATTTGTTTATTTTTTTAAAGATTTATTTATTTATTTGAAAGTCAGAGTTACACAGAGAGAGGAGAGGCAGAGAGAGAGAGAGAGAGAGGTCTTCCATCTGATGGTTCACTCCCCAAATGGCTGCAACGGCCGGAGCTGGCCAATCCGAAGTCAGGAGCCAGGAGCTTCTTCTGGGTCTCCCACGTGGGTGCAGGGGCCCAAGCACTTGGGCCATCTTCTACTGCTTTCCCAGGCCATAGCAGAGAGCTGAATACGAAGTAGAACAGCCGGGTCTCAAACCAGCACCCATATGGGATGCTGGCGCTTCAGGCCAGTGCATTAACCTGCTGTGCCACAGCTCCGGCCCCAATCATTTCTTTAAAACGAATATACAATAGTGTTTTTTTAAGAGATTTTAAGGGCATGATAATTCAAAAATTAACCACAGTGAAACATTCTGCTTAAAGAGATAGAAACTGCATTATAATTATATAAATAGTAAACAAAATGATGATATTTTAGTTAAGGAAAAAAGACCCTGATAATATATTTTAATTTTTAAGTGCTTAAAGGAAACACAAACAAATGTAAAATACAAAATGTGTAAAAAATAAGCCCTTTGTTTTGTAAGCTAGTTTTTGTAAACTACAACTTTGGGAACCAACCAGTCTAATATG